TTGGCCCGGCCCCAAATCCGGCCCACCCCCTTCCAATTTTGGGGGGGACCCAACCAAACCACCCAATGGCCCTTCACCCCCACTTTAAGGGCCCTTCCCCCCCAGTTACCTGGCCCCCCGATTCGGTCCCCCCAATTTATGTGATGGGGGCTGGCTGGCCCACAAACCAAAGCTTTTCCCCACAAACCCAGCCCCACCCCCCATCAGTCCTTCACAAAACCTGATCGGCTGTGGCCCCTCCCCCCAGCCAGCTCCACCCCCGATCGCCCCCCACATCAATTAGGAGTGGGGTTGGCCGGCCAACCCCTCTGGCCCTCCCCCAGGCTGGCCCCACCCTTGATCACACCCCCCTCCCCAATAGGGGGCTGGCCAGCAAACCAACCTCCTGCAGGCCCTCCCCCCAGCGAGGCCGCCCCCAATGAGCCCCCCACCACCCCAATTGGCCTGCAGCCCCTCCCCCCACCAGCTCTGTTCCTGATCACCCCCCGACACACCAATTAGGGGAGGGCCTGTCCAGCCAAACTCCCACGGCCCCTCCCCCAGCCGCTGACCCCCAATCAGCTCCCGCCACCCCATTCAGGGGTGGGACCGGATGGCCCACCACTCACAGCCCCTCCCCACAGCCGGTCCCACCCCCAATAACCCCCTTCACCCTATTCAGGGGTGGGGCCCACTAGCTAATTGCCTGCGGCCCCTCCCCCAAGCCAGCCCGGCACTGATCGGCCCTGATTGGTGCGGGCTGGCCGACCTCCCACTGTCTCCTCCTCCTGATAGGCCGGGCCCTGATCCACCTCGATTAGGGCTGGGCTGGCTGGACCCCACCTGTGCAGGAATTTGTGCACTGGTCCTCTAGTACTCATATAAATGAACTCATTTGGTTAATTCCCTTTTCATGTGTACAGCATTTCAATGACTTGGACAATTATTTTACAATGGTGAAAAAAAATCCAAGTCCAGATCAGTAAGGATTGTTGAAAAATCATGCTGCCCAGCTGTGTAGCTACATAGCTGAGCATCTTGAACATTAGCCTATGAACCAGGAGGTCATGGTTAGATTCCCAGTCAGGACACATGCCCAAATTGTGGGCTCGGTTCTCAGTGGGGGCTTGCAGGAGGCAGCCGGTCAATGATTCTCTCTCATCATTGATGTTTCTCTCTCCCCCTCTCTCAAATCAATAAAAACATATTTTAAAAATCATGGCAAGATGGGAATTAACCCATGATCAAAAATAGACCATTAACCGCATTTAAAAATTATCATTACAGTTCTAAAAATGTCT